TTATTTAAATAATGTGATTATTTAAATTTGAATTTGAACACATCTAGATTTATCCATTTAAACTTATTTGATAAGTTGTTCAATTTAGAATTCAAATTAATTTAAGTTTGACTTAAATTCAAATTTGAATTTGAATTAAAATTGGACTACAGAATAAAGGATGATTTCTCTTCCTTCCCTATCTGTTTTTTGGCGCCACACACAAGGGAGAAAATCCCCATCATGGCCGGCCACTAAATGGATAAGGGAAAGGGATTTTTTGTTCCAAAATTCAAATTGGAGATAGGGATTTGATTCTGTTTTGAAGTTTGACTTCTACTCTTTAAATATGAGAATGATAGAAAGTTGTGGAGACAATTTTTGAAACATTATTTAGCCCTAAAAATAGTTGGTGGCCGAATTTCTCAAGGAAAAAGAGAGCAAAAATATTTTTCTCTAAAAATTCCACATCGTGCATGCGTTGGTGTTTGTAGAAATTTGAGTGTTTAAGAAACCTGTTTTTGTCTCACGTGTGCCCACACACACGTCTACGTGAAATCAAGGAATTGACGTGGAAGACTTTGGTTTTCTAAACACAAAGATTAGAGCAAGGACTGTTCGTGGACAAAGAACTCAAGTTATCATCCGAGTTGGCTTCCAAGTATTTTTTCGGATTGAGTTTTTGATATATAAATTACCCTAGATGAGAAATTGCATAAAAACTATTATAATGGTATAATTTTACTACATTATTTCTATAAAAATTACCCTAGATGAGAAGTTTAAAAGTGTAGTATTGAAATATAGTAATTTCTTTTTGAAATATTTTAGAAATAATATACGCACACAATAATTATCATTATTAATATAATTTTCTCATCTTATACTCTTATTTGATTATAGAATGTATTTTTAGTTATATTTCAGGGCTCATCTTATATTGCTAATTCGAGTTAAGATGTGATTTTATGTGAGAAATTTTCACTGTAGTAAAAAAGTTAAATTTAATTATTTTTAAGAGATTTTTATTGTAACAAAACTCAAATTTTAAACTCGAATAAGTGAAATAAACGAGACCTCAATGTGAATAATAAAAAATTATTCATTTATCTTAATTTACTTTTTTTTTCATTTGTCCGAGGAAAAAAAAGGAGTTAAATTGCCCTCTCACACGCGCTTAAAAAGAAACTTTTCTCTCTCGTTCCCGCCCTTTTTCAAATTCTCTCCCACACCACAGTGTCATTCACTATGGCATTAATTTCCCCAGAGAATCTCCTCCGCCGTCCCCAACCCACCCAAAAATGCACACTGGGCTGCCCCGTCCTCGACCGCTGCCTCGGCGGTGGCATTCCCTGCAACTCCATGACCGAGCTCGTCGCCGAGAGCGCCTCCGGTAAGACCCAGTTCTGCCTCCAACTCGCCCTCTCCGCCCAACTCCCGCCCTCCCGCGGCGGCCTCTCCGCCTCCTCTCTCTACCTCCACACCGAGTTCCCCTTCCCCTTCCGCCGCCTCCACCAGCTCCGCCGCGCATTCTGCGATCGCCACTCGATCGGCCGGGAATTTGATCCTTCTGACAATGTGTTCGTCCACGCCGTGCATTCTGCAGACCAATTGCTCGATGAAATGCGCAAGATAGAATCCTTCCTCTCCGAGCGTAAACCCCGGTTCCCCGTTAGAGTCATCGTGATCGATTCGATTGCGGCGCTTTTTCGGTCTGAATTTGACAACACCCCTTTTGATCTTAAGCGAAGATCGTCTCTTTTCTTTAAGATATCGGGCAAATTGAAGTCATTGGTGGATAGATTCAATGTCGCAGTTGTTGTGACGAACCAGGTGGTTGATTTTATGGGCGACAATGGAGGTATGAATGGACTGAGAATTGGGAACTTGAAATATTTGTATTCGTCCGAAAGACGGGTTTGTCCCGCTTTGGGTTTAGCTTGGGCAAACTGCGTGAATTCAAGGTTGTTCTTGTCAAGAAACGAGGAAGTTATTCGAGAAGAGAATGGCTCTGCGAATGCGGGTAATGGGGATACTCTCCGTAGACAAACTAGAAGACGAATTCATGTTCTTTTCGCTCCTCATTTGCCCGAATCGTCGACTGAATTTGTTATCAGAAGAGAAGGGGTTTTTGGAGTTGACAGATGAACGGTGTGTATTTGTGTATGTGCATGGTAATTTGCATTTTGCAGCAATTGTTGTTGTTATTATTATTATTATTATTATTATTATTATTATTATTATTATGATTATTATTATTTCCATAGCTATAAAATTGCTTTCTTCTTAAAATTGCAATATTTTATGTCTTGGTGAAAGGAAACATGATAGAGATGACCAGTTACTTAGAGTTTGTAGAAATGATAAGTTGAATCTAAAGTTTTAACTTGGCTCTGTGTTGCAGTTTTATCCTTCTGAATGACATTTGTTACGCTCAATAATTGCAAATTCAAGTTGATGTCTTGGAAATTGTGAGAGTTTGGAGTAATTTATTGGTAGATTATTATCTATTTGTGCTGTGAAATAGTGTTGAAACTTTGGATGGGCTGCCCGCGACCATCCGAAAAAATTGAGTTTTTACCCGAGTCCGAGCCCGAGCCGCCCGAAAAATTCGGGCCGCCCGCCCGAGCCCGAATTTCATCTTGAATGAGCCGCGGGCTTGTATTAGGCCGCCCAAGCCCGCCCGAGTAGCCTGAATTTTTTTTAATATTAAGTTATTTTGTGTTAAAATATATATATATATATATTACAATTTAAAATTTAAAATGAACACACGAACTATATAAAATAATTATTTCTTTATTAATTTTTAAATTTATAATTTATGATTGTATCGTTAAAAACCTTACCAAGAAAAATCCAATTGAGATAAAAACTTGGCAAGGAAAAAAGAGTGCAATCATTTTGTGACAAATTACAAATTTTACAAACTTACAAAGTTATACAATTACAAATACAATATCAAAGGTAAATACATATTTACAAATTATAAATTTACAATTTAATTTGAAGCTGAAGGATCGTCTTCAAAATTAAATGTTAATCAATTAAATTCATCGATCCATTCTTGGCTTGCCGGTGAAATTGTATCTTGTAGATGTTGATCGGCCCGATTCTAATCCTTAATGCAAACCAAGGCTTCAACAATATCCCTTTGCAATGCATTTCGGCGTTCCTCAAGTATTCTTCCTGTCGTATTGAAGGCTTGTTAGGAAGAAATAGTGGAGATTGAGATCGAAAATATATCCATTGCCAATCGAGTTAAGATTGGCCAAGTTAATACCCGTGCCCTCCACCATTGAACTAAGTCAAACGATTCTGTCGTACCACCGACTACTAAGCCTTCATTGAGGTACGCCATAAGCTCGTTGAAGATGTCGTCGCCACTGCCACTTATTGATGAAGATTCACTCACAGCTTCTGTTTGAGTTGTCTTCTTCTTCTTCTTCAACCCGAAAACATTCAAGAATGAATGCGGGTTTTCATCTTATTGTTGCAGTTCCTGTACTCTATGAGGTACTCTAAACCTAATCTCATATTTACTATAGATCGAATATATTTTTTCCTTTATTGTTGGATATTGGTCCGAACAATTGATGCCTAAAAATTCACCTAAGTTTTCTAAACCACTTTCTAAACCTTCTAATTTTAATCTAAGATCAAAAATAGTACATAAACCATACAACAAAGGCAACTTAGACTAATATTTTTTAAATTTATTTTCCATAGAATGAATAGGAACTCCTAAGATTGGGTCCTCCCTATATTCGCTAAATAAAATACTAATTCTTAAAAGTTCACCTAAAGCTAAAGGTGATGTTGGGTAGTATGTTCTACTAAGTTTTAATGTAACTTCATGAAACCTACCTAAAAATTAATACAAAACTTCGGCAATTTGCCAATCAAATTCGTCTATATGTCATACTCCTAACTTTACACACATATAGTTTGTTATGGCATCCTTATATGGGATGCATTGTTGAAGCATAATGTAAGTTGAGTTCCATCTTATAGGCATATCTAACGCTAATGCTCTGTGAGGTATATTTAATGCTTGTAAGAACCTAAACCAATCTTCTTGTCTTTGGTTACTACCTTGAATCTGTGCAAGACTATCTCTAATTTTTTTAATGTGATTACCCATTTCTTTTAAACCGGATTTAACTATTAAATTGATTACGTGACATGCACAACATTGGTGAAAAATTGTACCGTCACCGAATAAACTTAAATCATTTTCAAAGAACTCAAATGCTTTTGTATTGCCACTAGTATTATCTAATGTTATAACAATTACTTTATCTCTTAGTCTAAATTCATCAATTACATTTAAAATTGTATTATATATTAAATCTGCGTTATGTGATCCTAGAACACATTTAAATCCTAATATTCTTTTATCTAAATCAAATCCTTTAAAGTAATGTCCGGTTACAGCTAAATAATCTTTGTTGCCAATGGCAAACCAAATATCGGCCGTTAACGCAACGCACCCGCTAGTCGAGTGTAAAAGGTTTATTAATGCTTCTTTTTCTTTTTTAAATAATTTTAATAAATCTTTCCTAATAGTAGTTTTTGAAGTGAATTGTGCATTAGGATTATGTACAACCTTAATATATCGTTGCCAATTAAGATGCTCTACAAAACTAAGTGGTTGATCTAAAGCAGCTATCATTTGTGCAACTTCCATACGATCTACTTGCGGATCGTATTTTCAAGTAATTAGACCACTGGTTGCGCGATCAAAAGATAATTGTGTTTGGCGGAGTTCAGATCCGCCGGATTGGTTAAGCTTTTGAAGACACTTTTTAGAGTGTCTTCTCAAGTGTGTGGTGCCATGAATAGTGTCACCTAGTAATTTAGATAAACAATATTTACACTGAGCTATCTGTTTAGTGTTACCTTCATTGTCGATCTCATCAATTATGTCGAAGTAATCCCAAACTGTCGAGGTGCGCTTGCATTTCCTCCTAGAGGTTGCAACACTTGCAGACGCACTCGCACTCGCCGCTTCTCCACGCCTACCACCATTGCGACCACGACCTCCAGTACGTCCACCAGGGCTCATATTAGTGGATTCCTGCGTAACAAATTCATTAGTGGGAAATTGCCCTTCTTCCATGTTGTGTTGGACATCAACGGGAATACCACTATAACCAAAAGGATCCATTATAAAAAAATAAGAGCGATTTGAGAGAGAGAGCTTTAGGATAATGTGATAGTTTTTAGAAAAATTTTGAAAGAGATTTGAGAGATCGAGAGAGATTGAGAGAAGTTGAGAGAGATTGAGAGAAATTGAGAAGGATTGAGAGAGTTTGAGTGAGAAAAATGTGTGGAGGATGGGGGGTATTTATAGGGAAATTTTTGGGTTAAAAAATTGATTTTTTTTTCAAAAAAATCAATGTGCAACGGCTAGTTAGGTTAAACGGGTCGGGTTTGGGCGGGTTTCGGGCGTATTCGGGTGGCAACGGGCAAAAAAGTAGCCGTTTGACGGGTTTTCGGGCATCCGGACAAATCGAGCAATTCGGGCAACTCGGACTTTCGAGCAAAATTTGGGTTTTCGGGCTTATTTTTGGGTCGGGCACAACGGTCGGATTTTTGAACGTATTTTCGGGCAGTTCGGGCTCCGGGCGGGTCGGCCATGGCTGGAAAAATTCAAAAAAAACTCCGCCGGACGACGGTCGACGACACCTACACGGCGGCGGGCTCCGGCGTGGTTTCAAAATTCGGGCTGCCCGAGCCCGAATTTCCACCTTGGACGGGCCGGCATATGGGCCTGTCCGCCCAAGCCTGAAAAAATTCAGGCTTCGGGCAGCCCGCCGGCCCGAAGTTCCACCACTACTGTGAAATGAACTGTTATAGTTATATAGAATCGAATGCGATGTTAGTTTTCTTATTTGCTCTTGGGAGTAGTCCCGGTAATTCTTCTAGAAAGACTTCCACGAATTGTTTGACAATTGGAATGTCCTCCGGTCCGAACTTAATTTCTTTAGATTTATCCACCAAATTGGCCAGATATCCTATGCATCTGCTAGCTAACATCTTACTTGCTCTCATTGCGGATACCATCTACACTGGCCGCTCTTAAAATGTCCATGTGTAAGTGAACTCTCATTCCTCAGGTGGCTTGAACGTGACCTTCCGACTTCTGCAGTCAATGACAGCGTTGTATTTCCTCAGGAAGTCCATTCCCAAAATGACGTTGTAATCACTCATACTAATGACTATCAAATTCACATACAATTTTCTCCCACAAATAATTATTGGAACATTTCATAACCAATAATCAGACAATAAGATCTTCCCAGAAGGCAAGGCAGTCCTAAAAGGTTGATTTATTCTATCTTTTACACTATTTAGATGCTTCTTAATCTTAGATGACACAAATGAATGCGTTGCTCCGGAATCAAATAAAGCGTAAGCATCATGGTTGGCTACAGGAAGCTGACCTATCACCACTGCGGAAGTTCCAGTTGCTGCACCTCCCCTAGTGTAGGCATAGATACGAGCTTGGGGTTCCAAAGCTTCTAATCTTCCCTGAGAAATCTGGGGTCCGTCGATCGTGGCTTGGATTGCATGCAGCTGGTTTCCTAGAGCTCTCGGCTGATTTTGAATCCTCTGTTGATTCTGACTTGCTCGATTCTGGGGGTTGGAATAACAATCCCTGGCAAAATGGCCCTCTTTCCCACATATGTAACATCCGCTTATCTGAGCTCTACATTTTGCTGGATGCTTCATTTCGCACTTGTTACAATTGGGGAGATTGTTGTTAACCTGCTCGGCGTTGTTCTTCTTCTGAGGTTGGCCTTCCCGGGTTGAAATTCCCCTTCCTCTTATTATGGCCTTGTCCATGCTGATTGGGCTTTCGGGTTTTGTTTCCCTTTAGCCCTTTCCTCTTTCTTAGCTTAGAAGAATTTAGCCATTTTCTCCCTGTTTTGGTTGACCCAGTATTCTGCATGAATTGCTCGACCAACACAGTCTTCCACAGTCGTAGGCGGTCTGCCCCCTCCGCTGATCACCACAGCGAGGTCAATTCTAAACATCTTCATCATCCTCCTAACTTCCTCTCGCTCTGAGGTCACCATGTGTGGGCATAAGCGAGCTAGTTGCTTGAACTTCTGCATGGCATCTACTACAGACAAATTTCCTTGATAGAAATTATTA